GCTTTTTATCATCACTTATCTTCCAATACTGAACACAGAAGACATCATGCGACAGTATTAAACATAGATAAAAAACTGCTCTTATGTTTACCATCCAGCCTGAAAGACCTACTTTAAAAGAACAAAATGTTTGATTAATTCGTTATGTTAATCGTTATCTTGACTGAAAGAATAAAGTGAGATAGCGACAAAGAAAAAAGGATAGAAGATATGCTTAGTAACCGCATTACTGTGAGGCTGTCGCCATACAACTATTCATAGCGCTGAATTGGTGAGTTCAGCCATGAAGAGATTGAAGATTAAAAAATTACGATCTGAATGAAAGTTCAAAAGTGTGCTGGTCTGCAATTGCGTCTGCCCATAAAAACAACGAGTTCACTGTGAGGTTTTGATTGGGTTGTTACTGATAAACCATACATGGAGAACCTACCTCTCAATTGCACTCGGATTTATTGTGAAGGCTTATGCCCTAAGGTTTGTAGGACCCTATTTGGTGATTGGTTAGGTGCGCTAAAAAGAACATGAAATTCGCAATCTCAGGAGCTTGAAAGTGCATTAAGAAACCTTTTTTTCGTTTAAGCTCATTATAGGTTTAGATGAGAAGCCCGCTGACTTGAATGATTAAAACTTAGCGGCATTGAATATTATCTTTTTCAAAACGGACAATTTTTAGCGTCAGTTCCAAAACATGCTATTGGTCATTAAAGAAGCCTATATGATCAATAGGTAGTAAGAAGAGTAAATTTCGAATGTTCGAATGAGTTGGAACTTGAAATTAAGGGCAAGGTCGCTGTGGGGTTGGTTGAACAAATTGGGAAGACTGTGCGCGAGGTGACGAGGCGCGCTAGCAAAACTGGCAATCCGAGGAGACCACGTGGCACTCTTTGCATCGCACATCGCTTTGTATCAATCAATATAGCTTTGCTTAATTTAAGTTTAGAACCAATGAACAGTTTTTTTTTCTACTGGAAAATTTATGTCAATTATTGCTCAGAAAAAGAATCTACCAACAACTTATAAGGGTGGCTTGAGACTGTTTGAATGCTATCTGTTTC